AAGCCATTATGTGGGTGCTAGGAATTGACCCACACAAGCTGCTCTTAACTACCACACCATCTCCCCAGCCCTTGGGTTTAACTTTTCAAAACAGGTAGGCTGTGTAACCTACACAAATCTTGAACTTCCTAAGTAGCTCAAGACGGTCTCATTATCCTCCTACCTCAGCCTCTGAGGTGCTGGTTCTCACATGCCACCTTTCCCTGCCTGTCATTGTCAAGCATTCTAAAGTGTAATGTGAATGCTTGCATGTGCCATTCAAGAGTGATATGACTAGGAACTCCTCATGACAAGATCTGTGCTGTCCCGTGAAGGATAATGTTTCACTTTATCTCATTTATCAGGAAAAGCTTGTGACTTTGTGTTTGGGAAGTCTGAGTACCATTTGTGACAGTTACTAGATAATACATCGCACCATTGAAGAGGAAGGAGCTCCCTTCACCCGAAGTGTCAAAACGCAAGACTCAGTTTCAGCTTTCAGGGGAAGTAGCTCTTACACTTTTAGGGATGGATATGATGGGTTTGGGGTTTTATGGAAAGGAAACTGGGAAGTCGGTTAAGGATCCTCTAAGGGGAACCTATCCTTAAAGGAAAGCTTTGACTGAGTGAAGCCCATGACCTTTCTTGTAGAAATGGTCAGAGACCACAGTAAACTTGATGGAAAGTAGGTGGTGGTGTGCCAGTCTTTTGGAAATACAAATGCCACGTGGTGCCATATGCCTGTGACTCCAGACTTGGGAGGTAGAAGCAAGAGGATCAGAAGTTCAAGGTTATCTCTGCCTACGTAGTGAGTTTGAGACCAACTTAGAAGATATGAGCATCACTCAGAGAACTGTTTAAAAGAATATATATTTACACACACACACACACATCTGCCTGGGCAGTAGTGGGCCATGCCTTTAACCCAGCACTCAGGAGACTTCAGGGCTAGTCTAGTCTATAGAGTGAGTTCCAAGTTAGCAAGGGCTTCACAGAGAAACCCTGTGTTGAAAACACAGTAATAATAATAATTAATAAATAAAAGCTACTTAGGGTGGGTCACTTCTTAATCCCAACATTCAAGATCAATGTGGTTACATAGTGAATTCTGGGCCAACCAGGGCCTTATAGTGAGATCCTGCCTTAGAAATAAAATTAAATAAATACATACATATAATATCTATGTGTACATATAAACTACAAACCCTCTAGGAGCACTCCCCTTCAGGAGCCTTCTTACCCAAACTTCATTTCCCATAAATGTGTTTGGGGCCACAGTTCCTCCACATTCCTGGTCTAAAATAGTTGTGAGTCTGTCCAGAAATAGCTGTGAGTCTGTCCAGAAATATCCTGAGAATGTTTTTTTCACTTACATACATGCTGTAAAACACTCATACATATAAAAATCATTTTTAAAAAGATAGCTCTTCCTCCGTCTATCATTTTTATAAACGCCACTGTTGGTTCTTTCTATTAATTGCCTTTGTATCATATCTAAGCCTCCCCATTCCAATATTAAATAAATATTTGTGTCTTTTTAAAATTCTTTAGGGTTCAGTTTTTACTTGTAAAACTCATTTGTTTTGGTGTGAAATAGGGAATCTACCTTTATTTTTAAGGCTTCATTCTGTGTCGGTGTTTACCAGTGTGTATATCTGTGCGTGACATTTACACAGGGCCCTTGAAGGTCAGAAAAAGGGCACCAGATCCCCTGGGCCTGGAGTTACAGTTGTGAGGCAAGATGTGGATGTGAAGGCTGAACCTTGAGTTTTCTGGAAGAGCAAGCAGTGTTCACCCTGCCCGAGTCCAGCTTTTTCCCCTTCCAGGGAGCCAGTGTGGAGCTGTCTCCGTGTCATTTATTGAATGAGTCAGTGTTTATTCATGTTGAAAATTCTGCTTTCCCGTCATCAATACCCTCCTATGTAATACCTCATCAGACCTCAGGTGCTCTGACCTTGGACACCTGTGACTCTTGGAACGCTAACATTTGGCTCTCTGCACAGCATCGGCTAGCTTGTCAGGGTTATCACTTAAAGAGGCATCACCGTCTTCTGTGCTTCAGATCGTGAGGTTATTTCTTTTAAGCTTTATTTTCAATTGTGTGTGTATATCTGAGTGTAGGTTTGTGTACTTGAGTGTAGTGCCTGAGGAGTCCAGAAGGGGGCATCAGATCCTCTGGAGCGGGAGCTACGGGGCAGTCATGAGCCTCCTGACATGAGTGCTGGGCACCAAACGTGTGTGCTCTGCAATGTAGACTCTTTACCACTGGGCAGTCAGTCTCTCCAGGCCGTAGTGGGTTTATTTGCACATTTTGTTTTGTTTCACCTGAGCTTAATAAAAATATTTATGGGAAAAGGAAAACTCCAGAGCATTTTGTTTTGTTTGTCCTTACAAAGTGCTTTGAAGATAGAGGTTATTTAGATTCCAGAGGAGGGGCAATGCTTTCTCCTCAGCCCAGTACTTCCTGGCTGTGAATACAGTGCTTAAGGCATGAACACAGGTGAAGCATCACGTTAAAGATCTCCACAGTGGTGGGCACAAGAAACCTCAGCAGGAAAGGGCATCTCTGAGCCGGAATTGGTGTCACAGGTGACATAAAAAAAAAAAAATAGTTTCCCACCCAAACAAAACAAAAGACACAGCAGTTTGGCATGTCACCACCCGCTCTCCTGTCACTGAAAACAACCAACCCGGCAAGGGAGAAGAAAAAGCCGCTTCGTTATTTTCAGTCTTGTCCCTCTATGTCCACAGCTGTGGAGTGAGGCCGCTTCCTTCCCCCGTACCTGCCACCACTGCAATGCAGAGCCCTCGTGGTCGCCTCAGCACACACATACTTAGTCTGCCCACATCCACACTTGTCTCCTGAGCAGTGTGTCCTCCACACCACAGCCAGAATGGTCTACTAAACAATCCTGGGTTTGGGCTGGCAAGATGGCTCAGCAAGTAAAGGGACTTGTCTGCGAGCCTGGTGGCCTAGGCGTGATTCCTAGGGCCCTCATAGTAGAGACTCTGACTACTTGTCCTGTGACCTCCTTATGACCCTCCCTGGTATGTGTACTTACACTCACGAATAAACATGTAAACATACACATATACATATATACATATGTGTGTGTACATGTTTGTAGACTATACTGCCAATCTCAATTGGTGTGTGTTACCTTTCATCCTCCCTCCCCAACAGTGCCAGGGATTTAACCTAGGGTCTCATTTGTGCTGAACGAGCATGATACCAATGAGCTATAGTCTCAGGCCTCTTCTTGGTCTTTTTATGTTAACTTTTTGTACTGCCATAATCGTAAGTATGTAAAAATATCTTTTCCCCTACAAATGCCTAACTGTTGACTTGTCGGTACTGTGCCGCTTGTGGCATGGGAGATGAGCCTTCTTCATTCTTCTCAGCACAATAAACAAGAATGAATGCATTCTTGGGCTCCATTGGTTGCACCTCACACCATTCACAACAACAGCAAGTCCGGATTCCTGATGGTATTTTAACAGAATGGCAGTTACAAAGCTCCCAGCACTGCGCTGGTGTTTTCTTGTAGTGTGTCCTCTCCTTCTGGGAGGACGAAGCAAACCTTGTCTCCATTTCCTCACTAATTCCTGTGTTCATTTAGTGACTTGACTATTTACTATAGCCTGGATTGCAGCACTGAATGAAGGTCTCTGTCTTCTAGCGGGGGAACACAGGCCACACCTCCTAAAGGATGAATGAACGATGAATGATTGAATGAATTAGGTGATAAGTTGAATTTTTAGGAGCAAGAGAGATGAATGAGGCCATAGACAGGGTTGTTCTCCTGAGTTGGGACAGCATCCTGAGTGGGAACAATGGAGCAGGTTCCTAACAGGAGTGAGGAAGAAGCTGCTGGGCTGTGGGGGAGAGGGTTTGTTCCTGGCAGGCCTGGGAGGTGGGTGGAGCCATCAGGTCCTGTTTTAGGTATTTTCCAGTTTGCTGTGACAAAACACTGTGATTGCATTTGATTGGATTTATTACAGGGTTAGAGTCCATGACAGTGACAAAGGCGTGACAGCAGGAACAGTTGAGAATTCACAGCTTCATCCAAAAGTAGGAGACAGCTAAACAAGCCCAGAATGGTGCCAGTCTTTGGAAATCTCAAAGCCCTCCCCAGTGGCACACCTCCCCCAACAAGGCCACAACACACTTCCTTGTCCTTCCCAAACAGTTCCACCTGCTGGGAACGAGTATTCAAATGTGAGCCAGGAGGGGCCATTCTCATGCAAACCCCACGGAGACCAAAGCCCTGGAGTTAGACTAACCTTTGTGATTTCAAGCAGCCAAGAGCTAGATAGACTGAGGGCTGGAGGGAGCCACGTTGGTCATGAGTGGCTGGTGACCTTACTAGCCAAGTGAGGTCTCTGGTCATCCCTGGGAAAGATGAGAGAGTGGATAGTGGTCAGCCTGCCCCTGCCTGCTGCCCTCTCTATTTTGTCTGCCCCTCCTCTGAGTTTCTCCTTTGTCACCCCCTGGAAGAGTAACCTTGCTCCGGGGTTTGAAGACACAGCATTCCCACACATAAATGTAAATGAGTTTCACTCTGTAGTGTCACATAGTCCGATTATGTAACCGCTGTTCCAAGGAGCCTGGCACATTCCAAACATTTTTAAAAATTATAGAACTTTGATGTTTTATTTCCTTATCTGTTACTCATTTGAGGAAATTGCTCTCTGAAAACAGTGGTCAAGTATATTTTACAAACTGCATCCAATCTCTGAAAAGAATGACCAAATATATTTTATGAACTGCGTCCAGCACTTCACCTACTATGGCATCCTGTCTATCTGTAGGTATTAAACAATCTGGAAGTCAGCTTGGTGTTTTATTTTTGGTTGGGTTGGAGGAGACTAATTAGGATCTTCCTTAAATTGCTTTGTTGTCAGATCCTGTCATGTGCCAAAGACAGATCCCATTAGAAGGCTTTAAACATTTAACTTCTGAAAGAATTGACTGTTACAGGTACTCAAGGGTGATTGGTATCTCTGTTTTCCTTCTACAGGAAGAAAGATCACAGTTTTCCCAGGCTGGGAGCAAAACTATGGAATGTGTTGTACCACTGACTGAACACAGCCCAATGAACTGTACTCGCCATAGTTCAGAAACCAGCAGTTAACAGCTTCTTCAGACTTCGACGTTGTCCAGCACTTTCCAGAGCAGACTCACTGTTCACAAGGACTCTTGGCCTCCCGAAGTTAGCAACCTCAAATTTTGTTTACTTAAGATATTTCTGCAAAAGAAAAGTACCCCAGATCCCATTCTCCACAATGGCTATGGACGGGTATCTGTGGATGGTCATTTTGGGTTTTATTATTGCTTTCATCCTGGCGTTTTCAGTGGGTGCAAATGACGTTGCCAACTCGTTTGGAACTGCAGTGGGCTCTGGCGTGGTAACCTTGAGACAGGCATGCATTCTGGCTTCGATATTTGAAACCACTGGCTCTGTGCTATTGGGAGCGAAAGTAGGAGAGACTATCCGGAAGGGCATCATCGATGTGAACCTCTACAATGACACTGTGGGGACCCTCATGGCTGGGGAAGTGAGTGCAATGGTTGGTGAGTAGCCTTAACCTCTGCACCAGTGGAAAGTGCGCCCACTCATCTCCCCTGATCCCATTGCCATTTCCATGAGTGAGGGGGTCTATGTTTTAACTTTAATGATTTGTGTTTCTGATACAATTTTCATTGCCTGTACTTTATGAATTTTACAAGCAAGCATCCATTTTCCTAAACTTTTAGCCATTTTAAAATACACTTGAGCCTCAAGGTACCACTTGTAGAATATTACTTTGTTTTAGGGATATGTTAAAGTTATGAAAGAGTGCACACACACACACACACACACACACACATAAAATCAGTGAGTATGCTTTAAATTTTACCTAAAACCAACCTTGAGAGTTGATTTATATTTTTTTCTAATGACTTTTCATTGTATATGATGGAATGTCTCAAAAATGTAGATACTATAAAACAATATTTAGGAAGTTGGGTGTGCCTCTGGACCAGACTGTTTGTCCAGCGTGCATGGAACCCTGAGAGCAACCGCTAGTACTACAACAAATAGCACTAGTATATTTGGGGACCGATGACATGGCTCAATGGCAGGGTCTGTCCTTAGCATGCACGAGACCCAGCAATCTCCAGTACTAAGGGAAAAAAGATTGATTAGTTTAACTCTTGTGGTTTTAGTTTACAATATAACCTATAATCTCACTATAATCAACTAAAATTGAGATTTTTAATTATTAAGGCAGTGTCTCTCAATCCTCGGGTCATGACCCTTTGCAGGCCAAATGACCCTTTCACAGGGTCACCCGAGACCATCAGAAAACACAGATGTTCACGTTGCGCTTTCCTAACAGTAGCAAAATTAGTTATGAATTAGCAATAAAATAATTTTACAGTTGGGGGGGTCACCACAACATGAAGACCTGTATTAAAGGGTCACAGTGTTGGGGGGGTTGAGAACCACTGCACTAAGGTATTATGAGAAAGAACTCTTGAAACTATGAGAGGAACAAAGAGAAACACTGACAGGCTCAGTCTAGGTGCAGCCGCCCCTAGGATAGAATCTACTCCAGGTCTGCGCCTGCGCACCAAGCACTCCCTGTGGCTGACCGTGGTGGAGCTGAGCAATCTGTCCCAGCTGCTGGTTTCCAGGTCCCACTTTTCCCACCCGCGGCCTTTGGCTCCTTATTCAAAGAGAAAAGGATCTCTTCCCTCAACTAGAATTTGGGTTTACCAAGGCAATTTAAGGGTTTGTCTGAATAACATGATTGCTTCGGTTTCTCTCTTCTCTGGGTTTGTTCGGGGGGTGGTGGCTGCTTCTGCTGTTTCCTTTTTGGTTTGTGGTCAGATGAATTTCAAAGCCCGTTGAGTTGGGAATTTTGTATGACTTGCCTAGATTTTAAAAACTGCATTCCTTATGAGTGGGAGCTGTGTGAATTTAATGTGACAATGTCACCATTGCTGACCCAAACTGAAGCTAAGTCTGTTGAGAATCCCGAATCCTCAGTCTTCACTCTGCCTCCATCCTCTCTTCCTTGCTCGTTTTGTCTTTTCACCCTCCTCCCTACTCTACCTTCACTCTGTTCATTCCATTTCACTCTATTCCGCTCTAACCTCTGCCCAGGCCCGGGGCCTCTGTGCTCCCTAAAAGCCTGTGTCCCAGTTCGGGTTGAGTGGAAGCTGCTGTAAGTGCCATCTAAACTTCCCGCACAAGTTACCTTTCGGAGACCCTTTGCTTAGCCCTATAGAAAATCAGCCCACTAAGGTCATATGAGGTCAGCAGTGCTTCCAAAACCCTGAGAATTCAAATCTGGGCATCGCCTCATGAAGATACCACACACTGACATCAGGACAAAGAGCTGTCAAGTCTCCTCACCCTTCACTTCCTGTTCCCACTCCGCACCCTACCCTTACTCAGGCCGATCCCTGGCCCTCATGTGACCCCAACCCTTTGTTTGCCTTCTACTTGATCTTCCAGACACCGCCCAGCACCTCAAAGGAACCTGAGTTTCTCTTGGGATCTTTGTCCCATAGTTCATCCATGTTCCTTTGTGGGATGTCGCTAGCTAACATTAGAGCTGTCTTTCTTCAGTTTTCTTCTTGACGTGTGTAGGACTCTGTATCCCTTCAGCAATTCCCAAGGCTGAGGTGGCTCCTGTCCGCTGGCTGACCCCCGTGCAACCATGCTTCATCTGCCGTTCCCTTACACTGCCTTCCCATGATCCCCAGCTCTCACTATAATTTATAAAGTCAGCAAGAAAAAATGGTGGCAACTCTCAAGAAGGAAAATTTAGTCTGAGTGCGACGGGGTGAGTTCAGACCATCCTCCTACATCACTAGGTTAACTTTATAAGAATCATAAAACCATGAAGTTTATACTTCTACATTACAGCTCTGGATGAGGAAGCACGATCCTAACTCTGGTTTTATGTGTAGGGCAACCAGTTGCTACTGATCAAGGTCACAGGGGTGGGGTCTAGACAAGTGCTGCCCTGGAGACTTGACACCTTGTGTTAGCGCACGACTGATTCCTTCTTCACTCAACACACACTTCAGAGATGTATATGGCGCCACACCAGGCCTTGTCTCAAAGGTCAGCGTGCCTGGCCTTCGCTGGAGCAGCTGTCCACTTTGTCTCCTACATTAGGACATATGTAGCCTCAGATGAACCTTCACCACTCAGCTATCTTTGAAGAAAAGGCCGGGGTGCTTAAGGCCACTGCTGCTGATTTTCAGAGTTAACTTGGGCTTGGTAATAGTCCACTTTATCAGCCTAGTCTTCCGCTCTGTTTGCCCTTCAGCAACTGCTGCTGAAAGGGATATCTCCCAGCTGATATTCTCAGAGCTCCCTGCCATACAGGACCTGCTTATGCAGATGTCTTCAGTGACCTATAGCCTAGAAAAACATCAAGCCTAGAACACAAGGCCAAACTCACAGCTCCCGATACTGCAGGCTAGATCTGAGAGCAGATGCCCAACTTCAGGTCATACCCAATTTCAGGTTACCAATCTGTTATTTTTCACATGTGTGGCAAAAGTCAAAGGGCAAGGCAGCATGTTACTCTCTCTTTCATAAACTGATATGGTGTGTTAGTTTGTCTCCTTATGGATTACAAAAGAGAACAAAACTTTCTCCCAATATATTGCCTTTTTCAAATTTTTTTCATGTGTAATGTCTTATCATAGTCAGACTTCAGAGCAGAGTGACTCATCATTGATGCCCTCACCCTCATGTGATAGCTAGTAATCACTCTAAGTAATTTTTGCCAGCATGTCAGTGCTTTGTAAGAAAACATGGAAAATTAAACTCAGGGTGTCTTAGTTAGGGTTTCTATTACTATGAAGAGATACCATGACCATGGCAACTCTTATAAAGGGAAACATTGGGACTTGCTTACAGTTTGAGAGGTTTAGCCCATTATCATCATTGCAGGCACATGGCTTTATGCCAGCAGACATGGTACTAGAAAGGTAGCTGAGAGTTCTGCCATTTGCACAGACAACAGGAAGTAGACTCGGACACCGGGCATGGCTTGAGCATGGCCCGCCCCCACAGTGACACACTTCCTCCAACAAAGCCTTAGTTCCTAGTAGTGCCACACCCTATGATCTTATGGGGGCCAATTGCATTCAAACTGCCTTACGGGGACATAATGTTGTTGATATCCCCTCCCTGCCATATTGAGTATCTGGGGTTTTAACACATCTTTCCATCTACAGGTTCAGCTGTTTGGCAGTTGATCGCATCCTTCCTAAGACTTCCAATCTCGGGAACGCACTGCATAGTCGGCTCTACTATAGGGTTCTCACTCGTGGCGATCGGCACGAAAGGAGTGCAGTGGATGGAGCTTGTCAAGATTGGTAATTGGCATCTTCTTTTACCTTTAGCAAGTAAAGTTTGCCTTCTCTAGAGTAAGTTCGTTAAAAGTTACTTTTATAATACTTCCCCTTCAAATGTTAAGGTTCAGAAGACCTGTATTGTATAGGTAGGCATGCATTTTCCTTAACAGTTTCCGTTAATGGATCGAGTTCAGTTTTAACTCACTCTTAAAATGTTACAGTATCATCTAGCTTCTGAAATCAGTATCTTATTTTTCCTTGCCAACCAGAAGAGAACATTTATTTCACTGAAATCAGCGTAGCAGTCTGAGAAAGACTAGTGCTAGGCCCAAGTGAAGAAAAGACTTAAATCTAAGAGTCAGTGTTTACCATCATTGTCAAGCCTCTGAATAAAGCCAGTGTTGTTGGCATCACTGAGTCACAGACTGCCCCATCTGCCCCCTGGAGGAAACACTGTGGGGTTCCTCCCCTCAGGGCTCCAGTTACACTTAGCTAGTGAGGAATCCTCTCCAGGCCCATGTGTACAGTCCACTCAGGATGGAAGGTACATCTCTGTCCTACAGGTTGTTCATTGTATCCTAGACTAGAACCATCCTAGCCTTAGGGACTAGAACCATCCTAGCCTTAGGTCATGATTCCTGGCCTGCCAATCAAGGTGCATGGGCCACCATGAAAATCATCACCTTATGTCCCAAAGCTTCTCAAATAACAGCTCTCAACTTTAGCAACTAAGAAGTATCCACACCCCGATCTTACTCTGCAGCTCTGGAAGTATGGAGGTGGAGCCAGAGTATCACTGGTGTTCGAAAACTCCCGGGTGGTTTCTGGGTGTAGCCAGAACTTAGAAGCACCCGGTAGGGGCTAACACCAGATTTCTAGTCATTAGATGTGAGGAATGCAAGCTCTGATGTGGATGTGGTTAAAGGAAACAGAACATGACCCACCTTTATGTAACCCTTGCTGTTGGGACAACAGACTCCACATGTACTAATAAAAGCAAGTAAGAGGCTTAGAACAGTGGTTCTGAGCCTTCCTAAGGCTGAGACCCTTTAATACAGTTCCTCATGTTGTGGTGACCCCCAGCCATAAAATTGTTTCATTGCTACCTCATAACTGTAATGAATCTATTATGAGTCATATTGTTATGAATCATAATTGAATCATGATTTAAATATCCAATATGCAGACTATCAGCTATCCCAAGGGGTCATGACCCACAGGTTGAGAACCCTGGCTTAGAGAGAAATAATCCCTCTACTGAAGCTAGAGCTTGGGAACCTCAGTAACCTACCATTATAAACAGCTGTGGGTGACTATGTTTGGGCCTGAGGAGAGCTACACATGAGGGAGGACTTCCTGACCTCTGACTCTGGCAAAAACAGTTCTGATAGTATGTATGAATATAGGCAGTGTGTTGCTTCTTGTTGTATTTAAATATACTTGCGTGTAAATCTTAACATTGACTGGATGTCCATCCTTTTTAATCATTCAGTTGCTTCCTGGTTTATATCGCCGCTGCTTTCCGGCTTCATGTCTGGAGTGCTGTTTGTGCTAATCAGAATGTTCATCTTAACAAAGGTAAGTGAGGCTGCTTTCTGAATTTTACGTCTTACTAAATTTTAGAACTAATTTCGGTGGTAACAGTAGGTCTCTGACAGAACTGTTTTGTCATTGCCAGGGTGCACTGGAGTTTGAGTAAGAGGGTTACATGAGCAGTTGGAAGCCTCCACAAAGGCAGGCCTTGCCAGAGCCTGGTGCACAAAGGGTGCTTCACGGCTGTGGAATTTAGTTCATTAGCCGACACTCCCAGCAAGGAAATAATAAAAGTTTTGAGATTTTGAAATGGATTCATGAATTAAAACAGCTGAATAGCCTCTTTACTCAATATCAAAGCGCTGTCCTGGCCAGGTGGCTCCGTCTACAATGGGCACTGATGGATGCCATGACTGTAGCCGCCTGGGGAGGAAGGGTGTGTCACACTTACAGTTCCAGGTAACAGCTCATCACTGAGACGTCAGGACAGGAACTCAAGCAGCCAGGAACCTGAAGACAGGAACTGATGCAGAGGCCATGGAGGAGTGCCCCTTACCGGATTCTCCCGCTTGGCTTGTTCAGCCCACATTTTCACATAATCTAGGACCATCTCCTCAGGGTTAGCCCCACCTACAATGGACGTGCCCCTCCCAGTAGTCGCTAATTAAGAAAGTGCCCTACAAGCCTGCCCAGTCTGATAGAGGCAATTTCACTTTTGAGGTTCCTTCCTCTCAGACAGATGACTATAGCTTGTGTCTTGATGTAAAACTGGCCAACAAGTGCTTTTTGATTTTTTTTAATGACCTAATTTAAGAGGATTAAAAAACCATAGAGGGTGTTGGAGAGACAGCTCAGAGGTTAAGGGCACTGGCTGTTCTTCCAGAGGTCTTGAGTTCAATTCCCAGCAACCACACGGTGGGGTCTGTAGTGGGATCTTGTGCCCTCTTCTAGCATAAAGGTGTGCGCTCAGATAGAGCATGCATATGCACAAAGTAAATAAACAAATCTTTTAAAGAAAAAAAACAGAGAGATACATTCTGTCAAAACAAAAGAAAAAACCCAAAAGATTGAAATTAGAATTTACTAGGCATGGTGATCCCAAGACTTGGAAAGGGAGAGGCAAGCAGGTTTCTGTGAATTCAAGGCCAGCCTGATCTACATAGTGAGTTCTAGGCCAGCCAAGGATACATGGTGAGATCCTGTCTAAAACAGTAAAATGAAATTTTAAAATAGCAGAATTTATTGAAATCAGTATTCTGGCAAAAAAAAAAATTGTTGTCCCTTATTTGACTATCAAAGAGCTGTTGCAATATATTTCTTTTGTAATCATATTTTATTCTTTAATTTTATATAACATTTGTAGCTTGTGACATGCAAATTATATTTGATGCTTGTACACAACGTGTAATGATCAAAGCGGCATTCCCATCAGCTCTGAGATTCTGATTTCTACCTATGGAGGAGGAACATGCAAACTTTTAACTCTAGTTATTTTGAAACATATAATGGGTTGTCACAGACTGCCATTGCCCTGTTGTATGTGTAACTTTAGAAGTGATACTGTGTGGCTTCCTATCACTGAGAAAATGCCTTAAAGAAGCAACTTAGAGGAAGTGGGTTCTTTGGGCCCAGGGTATCAAAGGTTTCAGCTCATGGCTATTTGTCTCTCTTGCTTTGGTAGTAGCCCCGTCGGCCACGCAGAGGAGATCATTTTACTTGTGGTCCTCGCTTTATGTCTCCACTCTGTCTGGTTTCAGGGGCCCTCCCCCCATAGCCTCGCTTCCTCCCACTGTATCCCATTTCTGAAAAGTTCTTCAACCTCCTCTTAGTGCCTTTAGAGGATGTATAGGATCCAAATTACAGCAGACTACATCCCTGTCTAGCTATATTTTTGTAGTCGTTGCCTATGCCTTCTTTAGGCTTCCCCCCTTGGTCCCCTTCCTACCTGAAGTGACCTTCTATTCTGTCCATGTACGAGATCAACTTTTACTCTGAAGTAAACACACACAGTGCTTTTCTGCCTTTCTTTCTAGCTTATTTCATGTTATATAGTATTGTCTAGTTTTATCCATGTTACCGGCAAGTGACAGGATGGCATCCTTTATGGATGAACAATATTCCATCTTATATAATATGTATCACATTTCTTTTTTTATATATCACATTTCTTAGCTCTTTGATTCATCCTTGGACACTTGATTGACTTATTGAAATACTTGATAAGCTATAAAGCCTACCATTTTTAACTTTTATTTAGTATTATTGTGTATATATACATGATAATTGTGTGTGTGTGTGTGAGGGAGGAGAGAGAGGAGAGATTTGGGGGGCACATGTGCACAACGTGTGGAAGTCAAAGAACAACTTTGAGAAGTTGGTTCTCTCTCCTTTTGTGTGGTTTCCAGGACTTGAACTTGGGTTGTCAGGCAGGCACATGAAGCAGTTGTACCAGGCAGCTCATCAGCCCTTAAAGCCTACGTTCAGTAGTTGTGTTACATATCTGTTTTCCCTATTCACGGTTCTGCTTTTTGCTGTTTTCAGTTAGACACATGGCCAGATACGTGAAAATGGAAAATTCCACAAATAAAAAACGTGTAAGTCTTACATTGCATATGAGTAACGTGTGGTGAAACCTCATCCAGTTCAGTGCCACCCAGCACAGAGTGTGACCTTTGTCCAGCATGTCCATGTCGTATCTATTACCCACCATTGAGCTCCTGTTAGCCACCCCGCTACGGTAACAATGGTGTTGAAGAGATTTAATGTGGAAGCCCAATGCCTCATCCTCTGCTCCATTTCATCTCACCACACAGGGACTGTGTCCTCTCACTTGGTCATTAAAGGAAGAGGAGGAGGACTGATATATTTTGAGAGAGAAAAGATACTCATATAACTATACACATATATAGTCCTAATTGCTCTGTAACTGTGTTACTATTACTTTCTTCCTGTACCTCACCATAAATCTGGGTGTGTGTGTATGTGTGTGTGTGTGTGTGTGTGTGTGTGTGTGTGTGTGTGTGTGTGTGTGTGTGTGTGTGTGTGTGTAATTATAGTATATATAGGGTTGGGTTTCAGGCGTCTCCTGAAAGCCTTGGAATGATCAGAGCTGTTTGTGTTCATTGAGTTCTCTAAGGACATACCTTCCTTTCTCTGTGTGTTGCTTGAAAACACAACTCTGTTTTCTTAGTATTGACTGTCAGCCATTGAAGGATTTATTCTCTTGAATAAGCACAAACTTTGTCATCACTGTGTTTCAGCATTCTTTCTCTGGGCTAGGACGGCCACATCAAGGTTAGTTTACATCTTGGCTACCGGCCTTCACCCATACTGTCTCCTCCGCCTAGACTCTGTCCTCAACCCGAACACTCCCATGAGCCTCCTGATGTCATTTCCCAGGGCACCTCTCCTACCCCAGAGTTGGAAATCCCCCTTCCCACTCCGGGGCACTGTGCTCTCTCATTATTGTGCGTGGTAGTGTGTACCTCCTTATCTCTTGTCCTGCCTGCTTGCCCTTGACTGTATGATCTGTGGGGTAGAAACAGTGAGTGTCTTAGTCACTCTGAATTCCAGCACCTCCTCATGTGCCTCCCCCACTAAAGACACTTGTTTACAATCTGTTAGCAGTGAATGCTGTCACCGAGCATCTGTAGTGGAACCAGACTCTAGTTCCACTGGAGGCCATCGGGGTCTCAGTTGGGTGAAAGGCAAGTTTGAACTCATGATCTCCGTCTCCTTTGGTTTTCTTCCTCACTCCTCCTCTCCCTCCCTGCCTCCTTGCCAAATCTCTTCCCCTCTCTCCATTCTCTGTAATGCATGCTGTTAAAAGGTTCGTTCAAAGAACCCAGAAAGAGATCTCTTGGCCCTGAACAGTACATACGTAAAGATAGGGCAGAAAAGACCAGGAAAAGGCCCATTTCTGAAGAGATAAGATTCAAATCAATTCTTTCTTTCTTTCTTTTTTAATGATCATCTCTTCTTGTGCCTTTTAGGATTTCCATAAAGCTGCAAAAGAACTGCCATGCCAACACTTCCCTGCTCACGAAACACACCATCATGAGACACACCATACTACCCACCACCCCACCACCACCCACCACCCACCACCCACCACCCTATACCACACCACTCAGTGCCCCACCTACCACTCAAGCGCACCCACCCACCCCAGCCACTACTACCCAATCCAACCCTAACGCACCACCCCTCCCAAACAAATTCTCCTCAGCTCACCCCAGCCCAGTCCCCACTCCCAACCCCCCTGCACTCCTCTCAACTCTGCCTCCCCTCACCCCAGCCTCCCCCCTAAATTGACCTAATGCTCAATTTCAGTGCAAAGTGCTCAGTATTTCTGAGAACACCAACCACAGCCCGAGCCAACTGTTGTCCCGGCTCCCCTGCCTTGCTCACTGCAGTATTGGGAAACCCCATTCCTGCCCCGCCTTCTTAACCACTTGTGTGGATGCTCCGTACCGTTTTTAAGAACGAAATCTCGGGGGTGGGGGTATGCTGGAACTTTTGGGCGACTGACAGATACAAATGGATGGGCAGGAAGGAGGGAGAGAAGAACCGGGTGGGTGGAGATAAAGGTCTCAAGCCGACCTATATCTAGTGACTGTCCACCCGAGAAGTTACCTCTAGTGACTGTCCACCTGAGAAGCTCCCGGCTGGGAGTCCTCACACAGCCATGGTTCCCAAGAGAGTAATGGTTTAGAAGCCAGTGGCGGGAGGCGGCGTGTGGCCTCATTGCCAGTTCTGTCAGGGCTCTCGTGTGGCACACTTCGGGTGGCATGCTAGCTTTGCTGACATCCTGCCCTCTGGCTCGGGCCTCTCTGTGTGCACCCCCCTCACGCCTCCTCGGCCTGGTCTGGGGAGAGCTCGCACATGGTGGGAACCTTTTCTGTCCCTCTCTTACGTTCCTTATGCTTCCCTGCCATTCAGCCTAGGCCCTTGGACCAGCGCTGCTGGTGACCTGAGGCATTCCAGAATGTTTTTCTGAGCTGCACCACACAGCAGGTACCTTCGCCTGTGTTATGTTTGCATTTCACAGTCCCATCCCTGAAGTAGTCTTCAGCTTTTCATACTATCACAGCGCACTTCAGTGTTTACATCTCGGTTTCCTTTGATGGCAGCGGGTGGCGTATCCACAAAAGTGTACCAGGGTAGATCTTAGAGATCAATCACTTTTTGAAAAATGTAAGTAGCAAGTGTACACTAGTACTGCTTTGATGTGTTTCTAGCCTACATTATTCCTTCAAAAGTCTTTTATAAATCTGCTTAAAACAGTATTTTTAGCGACTGGAGAGATGGCTAAGCAGTTAGGAGCAGTTGCTGCTTTTGCAGGAGATCCAGTCTGAGTTCCCAGCATACAAGTGACAGTCCACAACCTTCTGGAAGTCCAGTCTCAGGGTTCCAACGCCCTCTTCTGGCCTCCATGGGCACTGCATGCCTGTGACACAGAGATACATCCAGGCAAAGCCTTCATCCGTACACCAAAGTAAAAATAAATAATTTAAAAAATAGCATGCTAAGCCAGGCTTTGGTGGCGCATGCCTTTAGTCCCAGCACTCAGGAGGCAGAGGCAGGCGGATCTCTGTGAGTTCGAGACCAGCCTGGTCTACAGAGCGAGTTCCAGGACAGCCTCCAAAACAATAGAGAAACCCTGTCTCGAAAAACCAAAAAAACAAACAAACAAAAAAAATAGCATGCTAATAGTTTCTCAGATGTAAGTTCATCTCAAACACATGCAGTACTATTCGTGTGGGTATACTAAGAGAATGTCGTAGCCAATGCCCAGAATTACAAATAAGCATTCTGTTACACAAAGAGCCCACGATTCTTATTTCAGTGGCTAAAGGTCAAGTATTGTACCTTATTAAAAGAGTTTGAAAATCATAGCACATGCAAATATGTTTGCTGTGTATAATGGATTTATTATTACTGTGTATGGGGGCACACATGCCAAAGCATGCATGTGGAGGTCAGAGGGCATCGTTCAGGAGTCACATGACATAGATAGGCCAGGCGGTGGTGGCGCACGCCTTTAATCCCAGCACTCGGAGGCAGAGGCAGGCGGATCTCTGTGAGTTCGAGGCTAGGCTGGACCGACAGCCTCCAAAACAATACAGAGAAACCCTGTCTCGTAAAACCAAAAAAAAAAAAAAGAGAGAGAGAGAGAGAGAGAGAGACATATAGAGATAGAGCTCAGATCGTCATTATCAAAGAGTGAGTGTTTCACCTTCTGCGCCATCTCACTGTCCCTGAAGTAAGTGTGTGTGTGTGGGTGTGGGTGGGTGTGGGTGGGTGTTTTACCCGCAGATATGCCTGTACAGCACATGTGTGTCTGATGTCCACACTGGGCATTCGGTTCCCCCCCGAACTGCAGTAGAGACAGTGGTGAGCTACTATTTGGGAGCTGGGAATCAAGCCCATTTCCTCTGGAAGAGCAGCCAGTACTCTTACAGTACTCAGCACCACTGAGCCATCCATCCCTTCGACCCTGCTTTATATATTTTAATATAGCTATAATGTGTGTTTAGCCATAGAGCCATTTAAAATCTGCCATCAATGCTATGATAGCTGTCACTTGACTACTAGATCTTCCAAGGGTAGAGAGTCTACTAGCAGTTGTTGAAGGTAGACTTCTAGGTGCAAAGCTGATCTTAGCCAAAGAAGAAAGCACTAGAGGTTTGGAAGATGCCAAAGGCAAACTCTGGGCTTGGGACTTCAGGCATGAACCACCCTTAGCCATTCTCTAAGTCTGATGTCAGATCATGTGACACTGTAATGTGCTGGCCCTGGCAGAAGCGGCCTGCTGTCCCCGCATCTGTGTAGAAGAGGCGGCCTCAGCCAAGGCAGCAGCACCACACCGTGTCCCTCTCCTGTAATCAGGACTGTCTTTCTGTTTATGTTGCTGCCAGATGTTCTCGGTCCTGACCTCCCACTTTACCCATTGTCACGCAGGAGGACCCCGTTCCCAATGGTCTCCAGGCACTTCCTCTGTTCTATGCTGCCACTATAGCAATAAATGTCTTTTCCATCATGTACACCGGAGCGCCAGGTAAGACACCCCCCTCCACAGAATCTCAGTAAGGAGTGTATTGTAATTTAGTATCATGCCCTTGCTTTGTAGCTAACATTGGTGTTGGCCAAGAGTAAACAGCATTGTTCACAGTCATTGTGGAGTAGTAAAAATGATAGTAAGTCTATTTGTTTTAACTACCAAGAAGATACGTGGAATATAAGAACAACAGGCTTTCAGCCAGGCGTTGGTGGTGTACGCCTTTAATCCCAGCAATCGGGAGGCAGAGGCCGATGGATCTCTGTGAGTTCAAGGCCAGCAGCCTGGTCTACAGAGCGAGTTCTAGGACAGCCTCCAAAGCAATACAGAGAAACCCTGTCTTGAAAAACCAAAAAAAAAAAAAAAAAAAAAAAAAAAAAGAACAACAACAGGCTTTCAAGTTAAACAGTAAAATCCCGTTCTGCCTTTACCCAGATGTGTTGCTCTGGCCATGGGGGTCGGAGAAGGGTGCATCACAACATGTGGTCCAGTTGTTGAGGATGGGAAAGATGGGTCAGAAGTGGCCTACAGCTGTGAATACAGAAATTCCAGGGCATTACCAAATATTAGTCCTGGACCTGGTGGTTTTCTTTTCAGAATTCCTCCTGTTCTGATTCTGGGTTGGGGTAGGGAGCCTGGTGGCATGGACCTGTCGTCCCAGCACTCAGGTGGCCAAGTCCAAAAGGTAGCCTGGGTTAACCAATTTCCAGAGAGCCTGGTAATACAGTTACCTCACACACACACACACACACACACACACACACACACACACACACACACACACACACACACACACACACACACAAAAGGTCTCGGTGTGTGGCTGGTCCTTCAGAGTCATGACTGCTCCTCTATGTGAGTCCTACAGAAACCTGAAGTGAGAATATTTTCATACACATTGTAGCTATAAAAACAAGGCTAATAATAACTGTTGGTAGTAAAACAGCCTCTGACACAAACTGAGTTTATCATGTGCCAGGCATTATGGGACGTGACCTGCCTCCACTGAACTATGGTTGCTTTGCTTTTGTTTTTTGACGCAGGGTCTGTAAATAGTCCTGGCTGTCCTCCAGCTCACTATGTAGACTAGGCCGGCCTCAAACTCAGCAGAGATCTGCCTTCCTCTGCCTCCCGAGTGCTGGGATTAAAGGCGTGTGTCACCACTACACCCAGTCTTTGGATATATTCTTCCCTGAACAGTTACCCACCCAGATACCAACTCAGGTACTGGGACTGTTGAATGGATAGTAACCTGTAGCACCTTGTATAGATTTTTAATATTCCTAATGACAAAAGTGGCTCTGAACACTAAATATACAGTAAATATAGAGATAGGCTATCAAAAATGTTGGAAGGTATTTTTAAGAGAATTTAGAGAACGAATTTGTTATTTTCCATATGTGCCAGGTTGCTTAAGCTGTTTTAACTGAACCACTGGGGTCCTAGACTAGGTGCCTGGTGTAAATTCTGGTCCTTAGGTTTGCTGATCACATTAATACTGAGGATCTATTTCCCATCTTCAAAGTAGCATTGGTTATGATAGATCCATCTAAAAATCAGCTCCGTGGATTTAAATCATCTGTTTCTTACAACAAACCAGTGACACGTTTCCCTCAGTGTCCCGTAACATATAGCTTCATCTCCCCAGAATAATCCACTCTGCCAGCAAGATGGTTTCCCTAGCAAATATGCAATTCATAATCAAACGGTAGGCAAAAGAATGAGAAGTGACCCCAAGAAGACTGGCAAATGTAAATAAACTGAAAGTTTTATGAGAAAACACGGTTGTCTCCTGACGTTTGGAAAAACTAAAAAGCAAGACTAGAAGGCAAAAACAGAATGTAGTGCTGTAGCGTACAGTGGCATACAACTTCTAATCAGAGTGAGGGCCACAGGCCAGCTGCATCAGCAACCCGTGTGCTGACATCAAACCTGCAATTGTCTGGTCTGTCTCTGGGCCTAGTGCTCTGCAGTCTGTGTTCCCACGGGGACCTCCCGTGACAGTTCAGGGTCCATAACACTAGGTGCTTTCCTGCTTATCTCTTTTGAGACAGGATCTTTCTGTGTGGCCCAGGCTGTTCCAGAATTTCTGAGATTAAATGATCCTCCTGGGTAGCCAGGACCACAGATGTGAGCCACACCTGACTAACAACTGTTTTTTGCCATAATCATCACTGCTTTATTATAGTTCTCACGTGGTGAGTGCTAGTAAGTTCCGGCTAGCAATCTTCACTCCATTTGTGAAAAGTGTGTATGTGTGTGTGCAAGGGACACCCATGGTGCAGCACTCACGTCGAGGTCAGAGGACAGCTTTCAGGAGTCCCCTTCCAAGGCCTCTCTTGTTGCTGGCCAGGCTAGCTGGCCTGGGAGCTTCTGGTAGTTGTCCTGGCCGCAACCCCCACCTCTCTGCTGTAGCACGGAGGGATTACAGACGCTTGTCACTGCATCCTGCTTTTATTTATTTATTAATTATTTATTTAATGTAAGTTCCAATATGGGACTCAGGTTGCATATCAAGTACTTTTACACCCCCACCCACACTCCCTCCCACCCCCGCCACATCCCTGGCCCTGCTCTCCTTCCTGTCCTCAGACACCACCCAGCCTGGTTTCTGGCTTTTCTAGCGGAAACCTGTTCTTGAGGGCGCGGCTGCCATAGCAGCCTCCTCCCCATCCCCTCCCTCCTCCCCAGCATCCTTTTCTTTTCCCCCACTTTTTCCTCCTCCATCTTTGTTTTGTTCTCCTCCCCATTCTCTGTCTTCTCCCTCTGCATCTCCTTTTTTTTCCTCCCTTTTCCTCCATCTCTTCCAGTTCTAGCTGCTTCTCATCCAAGCCCAAGGGAGTCAGCTCACTGGAAACTGTCAGACGCCCCACAGCCTTTGTAAGGAGGTAGTGTCCTCCTCCAGGATCTCTGGGTTCCAGGGCTGACTGCAGCATCCAGGCTTTGGAGAAGCAGCAGCTGCAGTGATGGCTAGCCCCGAGGTGAGACGTCTCCAGTCCCCAGCAAGGGCTGCATTCAAAACAAAGCTCTTCCTTGCATTTGCTTCTCCCCCAGATATATTTACAGATGTAGTCTGATCTGAGAAAGCTGTTGCTATATTTTTAAAATTCTAACTATAGAGCAAACTTAAGGAGTACCGTATTTATTTCAAAAGCATGATTCATTTTCCTGAGTTCCCCAGCATTCTTTTTACATACATGGTTCTTCTAATGCTTTAAAATGTTTGTCTAAAATAAAGCAAAACCTAATAGCGTTGTTTACCATTTGAGGAAGGATAACAAAGAACAGGTAAACCTGTGTGAGCATGTGTGTGTACACATGTGTGTGCACATGTCTGATACTGTGTTACAGTGCCCACAGTACATTTAGATGACTTTGTGAAAGCACAAAGTAGAATATGGAGTATCATTGTGGTTCTGTTAAATGAACACTTTTTGAGACAGGCTGTTAGGTGTAGCCCTGGATGACCTGGGACTCACTGTGTAGACCAGGCTGGCCTCTAATGCACAGAGATCCATCTGCCTCTGCCTTCTGAGTGCCAGAACTAAAGATGATGGTCTCCACTCCCAGCTAGAATGAACTAATTTTTTTCTATAATTGAAATTTTTTTGTAGACAGTATATTCTGATAATGGTTTTCCTTCCCTCATCTGGTCCCAAATCCTCCCCACTTCCCTACCCATCCAACTCTAAGCTTTCTCTCTCTCTCTAGAGAACATACAGGCAAACAAATGAACAAACAAACCAAAATAAAACAAAAAAGCACAAGAAACACAAATATATATATATATATATATACCCATACACAAAATAGGAAATCATAATATACAAACAAAATACTAGCAAGAAAAAAGTGCCCAAACAAAGCAGTGAGACCCCCAAAATTACAAAAATACTATCGAGTTCATTTTGAATTGGGCATCTACTGCTGGGTATGGAGCCTGCCTTAAAGGTGATTTGTATACCCAGTGAGACTGTATTGGAGGACACTGATCTTTCCTTTGCCAGCAGGTGTTAATTGCAGATAGCTTCTTAGTTAAGGATGGGAGCTCTTAGTGCTGGAACCCCATCGGCCTGAATCTGTACAGGCTCTGCGTATGTTATCACTGTTTCTGTGAGTTCATAGGCGTGGCTGTCCTGTTGTATCTGGAGGACAATAGTTCCATGGTGTCATCCATCCCCTCCTCTTCCACAGAGTTCCCTGAGCCCTGAGTTGAGAAGTTTGATGGAGACATCCCATTTAGGACTGAGTGTTCCAAGGTTTCTCACTCTGCACATTGTCTAACTGTGGGTTTTGTATTAGTTCCCATCTAATGAGGGAGAAAACCTCTATAATGATGGCTGAGGGAGGCACTGATCTATGGGTATAGCAGAGTGACATTTAAAGTCATTTTATTGCTGTGTTCCCTTAGCAAAGTATAGTATTTGGTTTTCTCTTAGGCCCATGGCCTATCTAGTGTCAGGTTTGGGTTCCATCTTATGAGTCTTTAAATCCAATCGGGTAGTAGTTGGTTACCCACACAGCTTTCGTGACACTGTTACACCAGTGTATCATGCAGGTAGGTCACCATTGCAGATCGCAAGTAGCTGAGGTGGTGTTTACGTCTCTGCTCTGGTAGTGTACTGAATACTGTCTGGTACCATGTGCACTAGTTAGTAGGGGGGTAAAGGTTCTAGTTAGACACCAACTCACCTTCTTCATGTTCAATGAGATGCGTAGGTGTTGTCTTCTAGGGCCTTACTATTTGTGCAACCAATAGCCTTGGCAACAGCCTGAGTTTTGGGGTGTTTCTATGAGGCCCCTTTGGCCAACAGCTCAATTAGATGTAACCCATTCTTGGCACTTAGGGTTTTACTTGAAGAGAGGTAGACAGTTGGGGCTTTGTCTCCTCCATTATTTAGATTTCTTTCATATATATATGAAGAAGCCTCTACTGTAGTAGGTTTCTATGTGACACCTCCAATGACCCTTAGTGTTAGTTGTCCCTCCCCCTCCCTGTATTCTCTCCTTTACCCCCCTCTTCCAACTCCTAGTAACACTCTACACATACCTAGAAAATGCCTGGGAAGGTATACAACGAATAATCCACCCCTTTCCCCAGAAAGTGTGCTCATAGAAAGGGTGATAAGAACATTGCATATTGGTACATCATACAGTTCACTGTGGTCATGATAATATTATTTTTAAAAGCATGTATCATGTGCAAAATTAAAACCAAATGTGGAAGCTGCATTGAGTCAGTGACAGGGAAGGTTGTAGCGGGGAGTAAGCAGAGATAGAAGTAGACTGGGCTGGGCTAAAGCCTTACTAGTCTTAATATGTTTAATTTGTTTTGTAAATTCTGTTAATGATTACATGTTAAAAATGAGATGCAAAACAAAATAATGACAAGGAAATTATTAAAAGTTCTGACATTTCTTTGGGGTGGTTGAAATAGAACCAAAACGTTTGAAGTTAGCACTAAATCGCTGTTTGTCATCTCTTTGTTGTTTAGAAAGTGAGAGGAGCAGGAGATGAAAAGCCATTTAGTGGTGTGAGCTGAAAACACATCCCAGGCTCACATTGCTGGTTCCTGGCAGCCGCTTTTGGCTGAGTGAGCACAAGCCATTCAAGCTGTGCCCTACTTTGCCCATCCACAGTGGGGACAACCCTGGTGCCTGGTTGGCCCCTGAAGTTGCAATTATTTGAAACAATTACAGAGCCTCGCCAGGAAGACAATTCAATGCAAAGTACTTCCTCAGAAAGTCTGTTGTATGTGAAGCAGCCCCAAGTATTGAATTTAGAAGAAACACTTTGCTATGTGTGTACACTGGTTCAAGTGTGATCCTCGTTTTTGTTTTTGTTTTGTTTTGTCTGCCTCTTCTTGAGGCAGGGCCTCATGTACACACATAGCCCAGTGATAGACTTACCTTGCATGGTTTATTGAGCTGCTCTGGGACCAAGTCCATGGGCAGAGCTAGATAGGACCTGGGCTGGGCTGCTAGTTAGTTAGCACAGCATCGCCTGAGGAGGTTTTGAGTCCATGGCTCCCTGCTGTCCCCGGACATTGGGAGTGGATCCATCTAAATGTCTAAACCCCAGCAGCCACCTGCTAACCGTAAGAAGCCAGGGAGGTCTGCATTTTTTTTTTTAATATTTGCAAGCATTCATTCTGACCTCCTGTGTATGTTGCTCGTTCTGTAACCTCTCACCACATAATAATACTTTTGATTAACTTTGGGCTGATTTGTATAAAACAGTTAAAAGTGCTTCCAATTTACACACATGGCATTCATAACAATATATTTTTAAGTTACTTTATACATATGTTTCTTGTATTATTATGTTAAATATATTTAAATATATATTTAAAGCCAGGGGCATATATTACATAATTATAGTATAATATATATTCATATATATACAAATAATAGAATATATATTTCATATATATATATATATATATGAAATGAAACCCTGCTGGAATACATGCTCAGGCCTCTGACTTCCCACTAATGTTTCTGGTTCACACATTTTCTTGGAAGCTTGTGATCAGGTGAACATCAGAACTGCTTCTTTCTGAGCATAAGTAAGAGAACAGTGCAGCCAGCTTGGGGAAAAACATTGGGTCTCATCTCTCCAGAACTTGTTCTAACCCTGTATGGCTGCCTCCTGTGTATGATTGTGCTGTGACTAGTTTACATCTCCATAAGGATACATGTATTGGCTGGTCTAAAAATCCTTACTATTAGAAATAGTGCTGGGGAAGGAGATGGAGAGATGGCTCAGAGGTTAAGAGCTGTGCTGTTCTTCCAGAGGACCCGAGTTCAATTCCCAGCACTCATGTCAAGGTGTCTCACAACCTCCCTGTCTTAGTTAGGGTTTCTATTACTGTGATGAAACACCGTGACCAAAAAGCAAGGTGAGGAGGGCAGGGTTTATTTGGCTTACACTTCCACTATATTGTTCATCATTGGAGGGAGTCAGGACAGGATCTCAAGCAGGGCAGCAGACTGTGCCAACATAGTAACATTTTAATAATCAATTCCAAACAAGCACAAATTCTCAAGGCCATAATATGTCTTAAACACAGTCCTGCTCTCTGCCCACCAGATGTGCAATGTGTTTAGTTTGGTTTCATTTCTTTGAGACTGTCGTTCGATACAAAGCCCGGGTGGAGAAGAGAAATTGCTGTGGGAGGCTTTACCTGTACCAACGCTGCTGTTCACTTTGTTTCCCAGTGCTGGGTCTGTCGCTTCCCATATGGGCCATAGCACTCATTTCCTTTGGTGTGGCTCTGCTCTTTGCCTTCTTCGTGTGGCTCTTCGTGTGTCCGTGGATGAGGAGGAAAATAGCAGGTAAGCAGTTGTTTTTTTATTATTATTCTTCCCAATTACAAACCTGCTCTTGATTCCCGAGACTTCCTATGTAAACAAACAAGTATCCTTAACAGTAAAGGAGTTGGAGGTGGCGGCAGTTCCCAGAACTGCAATAGGATGCACACTCCGGCCTCTGGCTCTCCACTTCTGTTTCTGGCTCACATGGTTCCTTGACAATTTGTGACCCACGTGAGCATCATTATTTGTTTCCAAGCATACCTCTGAGTGAACTAATACAGCCAGGTTCTGCCAGCTTGGGAGAAAACATTTGTCTTTAGGAAAATGCAAACAGTTACCATAAAAGATAGCACATTGTGACAAGATTGGCTAAAAGGCCAACAAGTCCAAGTGAAATAACTTGGATTCTTCTAGATTCAGGGGGGACTGGCTGCAGAACAGGTCTTGTAAGTATGTTTCAGTGTGGAAATCTATGTCTTAAAGGAGCATTAAAGACAGACACTTTTGAACTGGGAGACCAATGTAGCCAGAGTGTTGGTTCTTTGCAAATTGGTTTGTATTTAATAAATTTCCCAGCATAATGTAGTCCTGACTGTTCTAGAACTCTACCTGCAGACCAGGCTGGCCTTGACCTCAGAGATCTGCCTACCTCTGCCTCCTGAGTGCTGGGATTAAAGGTGTGAGCCACCACTACTTGGTAAAAATTCAGTTCTTTTTAACAGAAGTCACTGAAATAATTGAATGTCCACACACCAAAGCAAAAGCCAAGTCTTACTATAAACATTATACCTCATTTTAAAGTTAACTCAAAGCATACAATAAATCTAAATGTAGAGGTAATAAAGACTTTTGGGGGTGTAGGAGCTTTTGTGATCTTGGGTAAGCAAAGAGCTTTGTCTGTGACACCAAAAATGATGCTTAGAATAAATTTACAAATTGTACAACATGAAAATTGAAAACTCTTGCTCTCTGAAAACACCATTAAGGGAAACTTTGTGTCATAGAAATATATTAAGATATTAAAAAATAAATCAGCTAAAAATGAGCTATATATTTTAATTTTATTATTACTTTTATTTATTATGTGTGTACATCTCTGTGTAGGAGTGTGTGCTTGTGGGCGCAGATGCCCATAAAGGCCCAGGTGTCGGATACCCCTGTAGCTCAAATTAGAGGCTGTTCGTGAGCCACCAAGAGGAGGTGTTGAGAACCAAACTGGGATCCTCTGGAAGAGCAGTGTTCACTCTTAACTTCTGAGTCATCTCTCCAGGGAGAGCAAAATATTTGAACACCCTTCACCAGAGTAGAGAAGCAAGTGGCAAATTGACCTATGCAAGGTTCAGGGCCACTAACAATCATGGAATGCACAATCAGATGAACATGAGATATTGAAGGACGTCAACACATGCCATGCTAACTGGGAGAAGGAAAAGAGAAAACCACCAAGACAAACTAACCACCTAGAACCTCCATCGGCAGTACAAAATGGCCCAAGAGACATCTGGGCAGTTCTCGGATTACATATGCACGGCCATCAACGTTCTTTGAGCCACTCCTAGGTATTTCCAGAGAAATCAAAACCTAAATTCACACAAAACTCTGTCCATGGGTGTTAATAACCCCTGCATCGCTGTCACCCAGAAGGGAAGCCCTCCCCCCACAGATTATCCACAGGATAAATGAAGTTTAGCTCTGCACTCCAGTGCTCGGCAGTAACCAGGAACTGACTGCCACTCCTGTGGCAGCGTGGACAAGTGGCAAAGGCAGCGAGCTGAGGATAGGAAGTCTTCAAAAGTGGTTACTTACCTAGAAGACTTTCTGAACATGTGAAACTGGAGGGTGGGAGATCAGACAAGTGCTTGTCTCATGTGGGGCTGGCGGGGGAGTAATGGGAACGTGAGGGCTTCTTACATCCCCATGTAGTTGTGGCTTCTTTGGGAAATCAGAATCATATACACCCGCAAAGGCAGCTTACTGTGTGTGAATTCTAAGATTAAGAGACTTTATGGGGCTGGAAAGATGGCTCAACAGTTAAGAAACCCTGCCTCAGAAAACCAACCCAGACTAAAAAAGATCACTGATGGAAGTTTCTATTTTATTTCCTCAATCTAGCTATAACATTTTGTTTCTGGGGTAAATACTAAAGAGTAAAGACATATGTTTATATCTTAATATTTATTAATTTTATTTATTTTTTATTATTTATGTTTAAAAGAAAAAAATGCATTTCCCAAATCTGTACTCTTTTTTTTTTCTAGGCAAATTAGAAAAGGAGAGCGCCCTGTCGCGCACTTCTGACGAAAGCCTCGGTAAGGCCCAGGAGGTGGAGTCCCCCTTCAAGGAGCTCCCTGGTGCCAAAACCAGCGATGATAGCGCTGTCCCCCTCACCAGCCCAGCTGGGGAGTCTGTGGGGCCCTCAGAAGGCACATCAGCAGGGAATCACCCCAGGACTGCCTATGGTAAGGCTAACTGGGAGAGCTTGGGGACAACATAGGAAGACCTCCTCTGGAGGTAACTAGCCAGGCCAAGCATGGGACCTAGTGTCCCCAAACTTGATGCTGTTGTACTGTTGTGATGGTCAGGGATCCATCCCAGAGTCTTGTGCATGCTAAGCACCTGATTTTCCACAGAGTGCCATACCCCCACCGTAAATAAGCATCTCCTAACTTATTTTCAGGACGGGCACTTTCCATGACTCACGGCTCTGCAAGGTCACCCATCTCCAACGGCACATTCGGCTTTGAAGGCCACATGAGAAATGACGGTCATGTTTACCATACTGTACACAAAGACTCGGGCCTCTACAAAGACTTGCTGCACAAAATCCATGTAGACAAAGGCCCCGAGGAGAAGCCCGCTCAGGAAAACAACTACAGGCTGCTTCGGCGGAACAACAGTTACACGTGCTACACCGCAGCCATCTGTGGCATGCCGGTGCACACCACCTTCCGAGCCGCCGATGCCTCCTCCGCCCCGGAGGACAGCGAGAAGCTGGTGGGCGACACCGTGTCCTATTCCAAGAAGAGGCTTCGCTACGACAGCTACTCCAGCTACTGCAATGCAGTCGCCGAGGCAGAGATCGAGGCCGAAGAGGGGGGCGTAGAGATGAGGCTGGCCTCGGAGCTGGCGGATCCCGACCAGCCTCATGACGACCCCACGGAAGAAGAGAAGGAGGAGAAGGACACGGCAGAGGTCCACCTCCTCTTCCACTTCCTGCAAGTGCTCACTGCCTGCTTTGGGTCCTTTGCTCATGGTGGCAATGACGTGAGGTGAGCGTCTCTATTCACTCAACCGATGCACAGTAAGGGTGTGTTATACCACGCTGACATGCAGAAGCCCCTGCCGCTGGGCAAAGGGGGCACAGACAGGAAGCATTAGTACCCACAGGATGCACTGGAGATTAGAAAGGGGGCGGCGGCGGCAGGGGGAAATCAGCTAGCCGCATGGGAAGGCTCACTGAGCAGGTCTAATGAGGTGAGGCAGCCAGCCTCGTGACTGTTGCAGGAAGAGCAAACAGGAGATGCAGAGGTGAAGCAGAGCTTGCCTGGGCTACTCTGCAAAAAGCAGGAGACCTTGGACAGGGAGGGTGGGCACTGAATCAGGTCACAGTGTGGTCATATAGGAATTGTGTTCTGTTGGGCAGAGTAGTGGCAGCTGGAGTCCTGACTGTTCTGCAGGCTGTAGGATATTTGTTTGATCCCAGGAATTCAGGATTAGCCTGGACAACGCAGCCAGGCCCTATCTTCAAAAGAAGTTGTTCAGGGGCTAGTTAAGAGCAGTTGTCACTCTTGCAGAGGACTTGTGTCCAATTCCCACCGCCCACATGGTGACTCACAACCATCCTCAGTTCCGGTTGCAGGGGGTCCAGTGCCCTCTCCTGGCCTACGTGGGCACTACATGCACAGGGTGCACAGACATGCATATCAAGAAAAAAATGCACTTAAATAATTTTTAAGGAAATACATTTTTGGAAGAGGGAATTCTTCACTCTGAGAGAAAAGGGAGCCACCAGAAGGACTGACAGGCTAGTCTACTATGCAGACAGATCCCCCTGGCTTAGACTGTGATATGGGAGAGCTCTTAGGGTGTTATTAACAGTGATCTGAGAAGAAACAGCAAGGCTTGGAGCTAGGGTATGGACATATTATTTTGAATGTGGAACCAATGGAATTGATAAGCAACTGAGACCAGTGATTCTCAACCTTCCTAACGCTGAGACCCTTTAATACAGTTCCTCATGCTGTGGTGATCCCACCCATAAGATTTTCATTGCTACTGCATAATTGTAGTTTTCTGCTGTTATGAGTCATAATGTAAACATCTGATAGGCAGATGGTCTTAGGCATCTTAGGTAAAAGACCCACAGCTTGAGAACTGCTAAACTACACATAGGTAAGAAGGAAGGAGGCCTAGTCAACAGTTTTGGCTCTAACAAACCTGAGGATGAATGGCCACGATGGGAAGAATGTGGGACCAAGCAGTTAGAGTTCAGATTAAACATAAACCTGAAGATGCCTGTAACATCCAAGGGACAGCCAAGTTAGCAGCCAGCTGTGTATGTCTGAGTTCAGGAGTGACCAGGCTGGGTACAGATGAGGGCCTCTGTCCTGGTCTTGAAGGAAGGAAAGGAAAGCAGCAATGTGGACACCCTGAGCCCTGTGGTTTCACAGATGGGAAACGGCAGGAGCCGTGTCAAGCCAGGCAGGGAGAGCTTAGCAGGGGTCGGCTCTTAATGGGTATTTAGCGGTCACTGGATCACATCCATCCTCTTAAGTCTTTTCTCCATTTTTTTAAAAAGTTTGACCTAGAAGATGCACACAAAGTATTGAGTGCCTGCTGTTGCGTACCTTCCCCCTGTGTGAAAGTTTGAATAACAGGGTGGACATATTGCCGAGAGGAGATGTGTACATAACCTCTTTGCGATGGGGCTGGAGCTCAGCGAACCTTGCACCTGGAATGTGGGGAGCCATTCTATGTAACATTCTGAGACAGCACTGCAGCTACAACAACAACCCTGTTGCTTTTGTCTCCTGTAAGACAAGCAAGACAGTGCCTCCCTTAGAGACGATCTGGCCCAGTGGCACGTGGTCCCATCCATCCCAGAAATGCTAGCGATACCTTATTAATGCAACAACATCAAAGTGTCCTGTGACATGGTCGAGAGTGCTGTGGGGACTACTGCCTTTTTGGAGGCCTGCCCTGGTAGGCCGCTGCCTTGAAGAGCCTCTCGTGGAGGGATACTCTGAGGGGCTCTCAAGAAGGGCTGCCTGGCAGGGGGCAGAATGGGAAACTACTTTCCTGCAGACCCTGTTAGCTTCCAGCTGGCTGTTGTCTGATATGCTGTCTGTGCAGCTTTCAGTGTGCTAGTCAACATCACAGAGTCCAAACTCTAGCCAGAGAGCTCAGATAACATGTTCTATTCCCAAAACACAGTACCCCCTCAAGAGGACAGAGTCCGGAGCCATCGCTCACAACTCGGAGGCTGTCTTTGAGGCTTCTAAACAGTGTCATCTGATAAAAAGCCAGATGCTAGAAATAACAACCCAACAACAGTCACCCAGGGAAAGGTTTGCAAGGTACCTGTCAGGATTCAGTACAGAGCGGTTTGCAATTTCCCGCTCCCTTTAGGACAACCACTGAGTCAGGCGAGTGTGTTCTTCAAAGATGGGCCCAACACTAAAAATGTGAAGTTACACGCCCAGAATCACACAACTAGAGCAAAACTAGCCTGGAAGCCTACCCATGCCGAACCTCAAGCCCCACTTGTCTACACCGCTGTGCCAACCAGGGGAAAGGACAAGCATGTCTAAGCAGACCCCACCACAGCACCGTGGCCTTGGCATTCCTGTGTGATGGAGGCACAGTGGCCACCCTCCAGGCCAGTTGTAAGGATCTGTGCCCACAGTGTGAAAACTGACTCATCTGTCAAGCTAGTAGCTACAATCCAGAAGCAGTGGAGATGAAAAGAAAGAGAGAAAGAACTGGGTTGTTAGCCGGGAGACCATGGCGCACACCTTTAATCCCAGAATTTAGGAGGCAGAAGCAAGTGGATCTCTGAGCTCAAGGCCAGCCTGGTTCAGGACGGCTAAGGCTACACAAAGAAACCCTGTCTCAAAAAGCCAAAATAATAAATAACAATAATAATAATAAACTTGGTTGTTGCACTTCACAAGATTTTTTTTAAGTACCTTTTTACAACCATGTATTATTCTTACTCTGCTTAACTCTACCTAAAATGGTTAAGACAACACATTTTCCGGTATGCTGCTTATATCAATAAAAGTCCATTTTATCACCTTAAATTCAATGAGTAAACTACAAACAACAAGATTTAGCTAATTTTCAAAACTAGGAAGCCATTATGTAGTGTGTATAGTGCCATGCCTTCGTACAATTAACTCTCCCCCCCCTTTTTTTTACTAGCAATGCAATTGGGCCTCTTGTGGCTTTGTGGCTGATATATGAACAAGGTGGAGTTATGCAAGAAGCCGCCACCCCAGTCTGGCTGCTGTTTTATGGAGGAGTCGGGATTTGCACAGGTCTCTGGGTTTGGGGGAGAAGAGTGATCCAGACCATGGGGAAGGACCTCACTCCAATCACACCATCCAGGTAAGGCACAGGGTAGATCAGCAGAGACAAGGCTTCCAGGTGGGGCTCACTGCAGACACTCAGTCAACATGTCAGCTTTCCTGTCTTAGCATTTCTACTTCCGTGAAGAGACACCATGATCACAGCAACTCTTATAAAGGAAAATATTTAGTTGGGGTGAAGGCTAACAGTTTCAGAGGTTTAATCCACTATCATCATGGTAGGGAGCACGGTGATATGCAGGCAGACATGGTTCTGGCTACATCTTGATCAGAAGGCAACAGGAAGTGGACTGTGACACTGGGAGTAGCTTGAGCATAAGAGAACTCAAAGCCCGCCTCCAAAGTGACACACTTCCTCCAACAAGGCCACACCTGCTCTTAACAAAGCCACGCCTACCCCCTAATAGCGCCATTCCCTATGAACTTATGGGGGCCAATTACATTCAGACTACCACATTTCTCGTGCTGCTCTTCTGTAGCAATAATCACCGTGAGAGAGGGCAGAGGGATCCCTCCCTACCTCACTCTCCACCAGTCCGCCTCATCCTCACTGTTCTACACTGGCACCAGGAGGAGGCAGGAAGACGCTGAAGCAGAGCAGCAGGGAAAACTAGGAGAGAGACTGCTGTAGTTTCCCGTCTACCCAGCTGTGCCAATGCAGCGTGAGCTCCAGAGAGCAAGCGCAAAGCGCAGGCGCACACCGGAGCCTGAGGCCCGCCTTTCTCCCAAAGTCTCCAGCCACACCCACTCTCCTGCCCTAAGACCCATCTGGTGTCCTGTCTGGGAGTTGGCTTTCTGTTGCCAATAGGAAACACCCAGATAAGCAGTGTGTAAAGAGGAAAAGGTTCACTGCGGCTCACACTGAGACAGGCGGATAGGAAAGTGCACATCATGGTGGGAGCCTGTGTCACAGGAAGAAGATGACAACGACAACAACAGCCCACCTCAGAGCCAGGAGGCAAAAGCAAACATCAGAAAAGCCAGAGTCCTACACCCCTCAAGGATGTGCCCCAGTGACCGGACACCCCTTTTCCACCTCTCAATAGCACCACTCTAGGGACCACGTCTGTGACAAATGGGCCTTTGGGAAATATATACCCCAAAACATGGCACCTGCCTGTCCTCAAGTTTTCAAGGACTAATATCTCACATGTCATCCTCTGGAATCTGAGGGCATGTACCTCTGCTGTCCTCACGGGGTCTGAAGTGTCACAGTCATTCTGCTGTGTAGCCTTTGGAGGAAATAACAGATCTCAGCTTACAGAGTACAACTGAAATTCAGAACTATTAGTTGTAGGAAATCTTTTTTTCTTTGTGTTTCTTTTTAAAAGTTAGTAGGGGTTTCTGTTTCATTTTGTTTCTAGTTTTCAGTTCCCCATCCTTAAAAATCCATTTTAGCAAAAGGTTGTTTTAGAAGAGTGAATTGAAGAAAAACTGGTCATCTGAACATCCAATCCTCTTTTGTAATAAGTTCATACTTTCAAGATGAGAACCTAGTTTTCTCCCCATCCCCCTTAGAAATGAGCAATTCATCATCTTCCCGCACAGCAGGAATTTCTGACCCAGTTCCACATTTCAGGTTGGAAAACATGCTGAGAAAACAAGGTCATTGGGTGTCCGCTGCACAGCCCAGTGCCCTACTGTGAGCACAGTGTCTTGTCCTAATGGTCATCTGGCTCAGGCAGCAGCAGTCCATAACCAGCTTACAGAATGTTCTGGCAAGCCTTCTGCAGCCACGGGGTGTCGGCAAGGCCACACAAAGAGCTCCTGTGACGTTGTCTTCCTGTTGCCCCCACAGTGGCTTCACTATTGAGCTGGCCTCTGCCTTCACCGTGGTGATTGCCTCCAACATCGGACTTCCCATCAGCACTACACACTGCAAGGTAGGCCCCCGCCAGCCCCAGACTGCCCTTCCGGGGGGCGGCAGCCCAGCCCAGCGGCACCACTCAATCTGGAAAAAAGCTGCTAGGCTCTGCGTGGCTGCTGTGGGACTGCCAGGTCACTGTTGGATAGCGAGGAGGAGGAGGAAGCAGGGGTAGTTGCTTCCCTAGATGCCCCCTCTGCCGATCCATCCTGATCCATCCTGATCCCCAGCAAAGCACCTGTTGTTGAGGCTCTGCTTTCTCGGCACTGGTGGGAGAGCTTCCGTCTGCCCTGTGCCCCTCACTGTTCCCACCTAGATTTCTTCTGAAGTCATGTGTGCACCGAGCATGTCTGTAGGTTCACCCGGGATGTAGCATTAAGTTCCTGCCACTGCAGAGCTGACCTTAGCAGTGGGACAGGAACAGCAATTATAAGATGTAGCTACTTCTGGCTTCCCCCTTACATGATGTTGAGAGTGACTTAGAGTCGATTCCATGTGAGGAGCAGGAGGTAGCTCCTGGTGCTGCCGTGGTCTTCTGTCTGTGACTCCCAGCTGAGAAAATTTGGGCTCTCAGGATTGAGCCACTTTCCAAAGGTCATACGGCCTGCATACAGTAGGACCAGGGATCAGATCTTCAGCTAATGTCCAGTCCCTCCTAATCGTAGTCACTTGGTAAACATCACTGTAACAGCCAACTCGGCTCTCCTGTGTCAGACACGTGCCCACGGGGCTCTGTTGGAGGTGCGGTGTGAATGGGGACTCATTCACTCTTTGCAAGAATCTTTTGAGAACACTAGCATTTCCCCAGTCTTCCAGATGTGGGAATTGAAACACAGAAAGGTTACAAAACATTTCCCACCGAGGGCCTGGCATGGTGCCCTGCCATCCCGGCAAGGAAAGCTTGGCACACCCACCACTCGGCATCTGGGCTGCTGCTCCATTTCAGTTTTTAAAATGATAAAAGGGTCTTGTGAAGCAAGACAGAGTACAGAGTGCGTAGCTGGCACAGCAGAGGCCTTGAGTGCAACCCATGGTATGGCAATAATAATAAAGTAGAAATTATCAAAGATACATGGGTTTCCTGAAGTACTTCAAACAGCACGAAACTGTGTAGACTATAAAAAGTAACCATCTCCCCATTCACCCCATCTTAGTTCTCTGATGTTTAGGACTACAGTTGAGGAAGCACCCTAAAATAATGTTCTCCCAAGGAAAAGGCATTTAGCGTTTCACTTTTCTATTACACTTATTCGTTTATTTAGTGTGTGTGTACACCTGTGTGTGGGTGTGTGCACAGCATTCACGTGGAGATCAAAGGACAACTTCAGGAGTCTGATCTCTCCCTCCAGCATGTGGGATAGAACTCGGCTGGTCAGCCCGAGAGGCAGGCACCTCTATCCCTCTCAGCTCCGCTTCTCACCGTTTCATAGGCACAAACAGTCACACCTGCTTGACTTTGCTCGATGTTGTAACTCATTAACTGAAAGTGATACACCAAACAGTATGATTTGTTAATAACCTGAAACTAGCCGGGCGGTGGTGGCGCACGCCTTTAATCCCAGCACTCGGGAGGCAGAGGCAGGCGGATCTCTGTGAGTTCGAGGCTGGGCTGGACCCATAGCCTCCAAAACAATACAGAGAAACCCTGTCTCGAAAAACCAAAAAAAAAAAAAAATAATAATAATAATAATAACCTGAAACTAGAATATAACTCACAGCCATAGAGGAAAAGTGCTGCCTACAAATTCTGGCCTCTCTAAAGAGGGCTTGATTAGGGATATGGAGGAGAGAGAGAGAGAAACAGAACACAAATATCAAGGTCCCTCGTAAATGTGTGAAAATTTCACAGTGAAACCCATTGTATGCACATATACACTTACACTGGTTTTAAAGCTAAACTTAGGTCAAGCATGGTAGTGCATACCTTTAGTCCCAGTGCTCAGGAAGCAGGGGTGGGCAAAATCTCTTGAATGTGAGTCCAGCCTGGTCTACATGGCAAGTTCTAGGCCAGCCAGGGCACATAGAGAGACCCTGTCTCAAAAATTTTAACAAGCTAATTAAAATTAAACTTTCATTTTCATCTTGAAGTATAATCTGTCCAATATTTATACCATAAAAAGGGCATTTTATTAAGAGATTTACATCTAATTTGCACAAAGACCTCTAACAAAGAAATATGTATGTTACTGTTAACAAAGTGCCTATGCTAGTCACACAATCAGTTGTTTCCTTGGAGTAATAAGTAGCATGAGGGTGATCTGTTGACATGAGTAGGCCCTTCACACGGGACCACAGTGGGATTGTACAGAAAGACCAGATGAAGCTAACAGAGTGAAACTGCCCACCTCCAGGATGAAAATAAAAATATCTAGAGCTCGATTACCAACAATAGCCAGTTAGAAAGTATAGCAGGGAAAAGAACACGCAGGATCTACGTAGTTGCGAGGGAGAAGAATGTTTTTATACCGATTCTAGTAAGAAACAGGGCTGTTGAGAAGGCTCGGTGCAGAAAGGTGCTGGTCACGAAGCCTGAGCGCTGCCGCTAAGACCCACATGGTGGAAGAGAAATGAGCCCCACCCGTGTGCTACGGCATGTGCACACCCACATAAATGCCGTGTAAATACAAAAGTAAGTTTAAGGAAACATAAGGAATGTGCATGGAGATGACCCAAGCTTATGCTGAAAGGGGGAAAGAAGATAGGGTGTGCTGTGATAGAGTTGTACCCTCAAACGCTGGCTGTCCTGTAGAAGTGTTCTTGGGACTTTACAGAATGGGGCTAGATTGATAGCATAAATTATACCATAAAATGGTTCCCAGAGAAAACTAATAAGGAAGGGTTCGGGGTACGCAATGCGCATGATAAACCAAAGGTCTGGGTTAGTGAAAGTCTCTCCTATGTGTTCCCCTGTGAATATGATGTGTCTGCCTCTACAGGTGGGCTCAGTAGTAGCTGTGGGCTGGATACGCTCGCGGAAGGCTGTGGACTGGCACCTCTTCCGGAACATATTTGTGGCCTGGTTCGTGACTGTCCCTGTGGCCGGATTATTCAGTGCTGCTGTCATGGCTATCTTCATGTATGGAATCCTATCATAGGTGTGATTTTGTTTCTTCCGGTTGCTAAATGGCTATGGAGATAGTCTACCATGGGTGTATGTATTCACACCTATCCACCCCACTGTGACACAAGCACACCCCTCCCGCATCCCTTCCCGATAGTTTCATGCCACACGCTGCTTACCCAGGCCACAGAAGTTCATCTTCCATAATTAACCTAACTACTGTACATAGTAGTGTATATCAAACTGATATTGTGATGACATAATGTGGTGCAGTTACTTATATATTGTGTACCTAGAATATGTAGCATTTATTTTAAACTCAGAATGAAAGTGGAGAGTGCCGCCTGGAATGCAATATTCTGTTAACTGTATATAATGATTTCAGCGGTGGCAAGTGTTAGAAACTTTTAAAAAGTGTAGGTTATAAAATCCTTTTTAAAAAATATACTGTAATATAAGTGAGATACAGTACACTTAATACAAACTTGGGCAAGTTTTCAGGCCCCGTGTGATTGCATAGTGCTGAGACAGGTGTCCACAAGTGCTTTCTCTGAAGATTGTGTCTACAAGCCGTGTATGAGTTACTGTGTAATGTATCACTATGCTTTTGTAAATACTTAAACTGTAATGTTAATGGTATGCTTCCCTTATACTTTACTGATTGGAGAGTTTTGGAAAGTACCAAAGAAATAGGGGATAAATTGCCAGTATTATATTTTCATGTTGTTTGTTTCCTTCCCACTGGCCACTGCAGCGAACCTGGCCCTTCAGCCGGGCGAGCTCTTCACTCAGCCAGAGCAGTGTGTGTAGCTGGAAGCACCAGTCACCCACCAGCAGCAGCCACCCGCTGCCGTACCAGGTCCTGGTAGGCTTGTTCAGTGGCCTTCATTGTCACCAGCGCAGACAACACACAGCAATGGGGTATATACTTAAAAACACTACATACATATCAAGTCCAATTCCAGTGTCCCTCCTTGTTCTGCCCTGTGGCCTGAAAGTCGGAATTCTTATTGCAAACACTGAAGCCAGTGAGGCTTTGATGCGCCTGGATGCTGTAAAACTCAGGGCTGAGCGGGGAATATTAGAGGGGACGCTGAACTTGGGGATCTTTGAGGCCTTTTTTTGTGTAAACATGTGAGGTCCTCCTGTAGAGCCACTATTGTCTTCTGATGGTGAGAGACACAGTATGACTAAAATGTTAAGAGCCTGAAACCATGGAAATGCTGCTAATATTTTTATATTGACATACATTTTCACGGTACTTCATTGTAATTTTTTCATTAATCAACCAGATTAAATTTATAATAAAAAAGTGCCCCTCAAAAGTTTACATCTGAAGTCTTTTTCTTTCAGAGTTCCCACAAAAATCAAAAGCATATAGTCTGGCCACTTGCGGTTTTCAAATACTTGAACTTTCTTCTGCCTCTAACTCTTCTGTGTCTGTTCAGAGCCGATCACAAAATGAGAAAAGGGAAAGGTGAGCCCACACCCGTCTGCAGGCACCCCCTCGGTCATCCCTCACACCGCTATGAAACATGGTGTCCAGAGATGTGTGTGTCTGATCAGGACAGTGGTCCTGTGCTGAGCCACCTGCTAGGCTCTTCATGTCTACAGGCTCCCACTGGGAGCCCCGTCTCTCCTCAGAGTGAAAGCAGAGAGCTGATGGTACCATTTAAGCACCACCATCCAGGTGTGACAGTCTCCTCTCCACTAGCAGACCGGAAATCCTCCCCTCGTCCCCTGCTTTTGATAGTCTCACACAACGCAGTCTCCTGCCGAGTTTATTGGTAAGAAAATCACAACACAGATGTAAGCAAGCACTATGCAGGCCAAACAGCCTGCTGGTCCCTGCCCTAGAAGGGTCACCTGAATATCACGAAGCCCTAGCAGGCAAATGGCAAGGCTGAATCCCAGGAGAGGGTAGGAGGGATGGAGGGGTACCATGCCTCCCCAGCAATGTCAAGCCTTGCCCAGGAACTCTCCCCCAACTCTGTTATCTGACCTTATATGTCATGCCAGGAAAGGGGCAAAAGGCCACTCCAACAGACTCCAACCTTACAGCCATTGTCCAGGAGTGATTCCTGCATGTGATGAGGGACAGTCAGGCCACACACAGGTTGTGACGTGCTCTCTGCTCCTGGAGAGGGTGTTGCCATGTCCCCAAGGGAAGGAATGCTGAGTCCCTGACATCTTTGTGTGGGGGGAGACAAACTTCCCATGCAAAGGACAGCTGTCTGGGGGACAAGAAAGCCATGCTCAGAAGAAAGGCATCAAACCTCACACTTCCTATCTTTCCTGAGAGTCTGAATCTAAGTATCTAAACATGTTTGTTCTAATGTTCTCCCGGTACTTTTTAAGTCTTCCCCACCTCTGGGTCTCAAGTTACAGGGTTCTCAAGCAACAGAAAACATAGTAAAATTCATCCCATAGACTGGCTGTGGTGATGCACACTTTTGATTCTAACATGCAGGAGGTAGCTCTCTGTAAATTCCAGGCCAGCACACTCTACATAGCAAGAGGCCAGATGAGGGATCACGACTGCCCTTCCTTAGGATTTAAAGTGTGGTGTGAAATACGCATGCGTCAGTGCTCTGTTGAGGCCTCTTAAGGGAAAACCACTAGGTCAAAAGAATAGATTGGAGGTTCACCTCTGATCTACTCCCAAATACCACATGCTGGTGTCTCCTCCCACACGGGTTAATCAAGCTGGGCCTGTCAATCACCTGGCCAAGGACAACCCTAGCACTGACTTTCCTGAAGACTTCCTCGGGAGATGGGAGGAATAATTACCCCTTTCTAGAGATAATAAGCCTCTCAGAAGCCCCTCCTCTCCTAATGCAGTCACTTGTGATCTTCACCAAGCTCAAACTCAAAACATCCTTTTCTTCTCTTTTTCTGGTGTCAACTAAAGGCCTAATAAAATGGTTTACAAACTTCCTTCTGAGTCTATTTTAAAAGTATTTTACTAGGAGTCTAAGAACCCATAAAAGAGAAACCCAATTTCGCTGGTAACATTACTGCACCAGTACCCTTGGTTATAACAGATATCAGGCATGAGAAGGAGCTAAGACAACAAGAATATGGGAACTACTTTTTGCAGTGTTCTTGTAAACATAAAGCTACCAAATAAATAAATCAGAGCTAGAGAAATTACTCAGCTGCTCTATCAGAGGACCAGGGTTTACATCCCAGGATCTGCCTTAGGCAAATAAACACCTATAACCCAAGCTCCAAGTGATCCAGCACCCTTTTGGCTTCAAGACACACACACACACACACACACACACACACACACACACACACATAAATCAAATCTTCAGAAAATTAGGGTTTGACCTACCTCAAGACCCTACATTACTACTATTAGGCATATACTCAAAGGAAGCACACTCACACCACAAGAACATGTGCTCAACTATTTTCATAGCAACATTATTTGTAATAGCCAGATCCTGGAAACAACCTAGATGCCCCTCAACCAAAGAATGGATAAAGAAAATATGGCATATTACACAATGGAGTACTACTCAGCGGTAAAGAAACAATGAGATCCAAAAATCTGCAAGCAAATGGACAGAACTAGAAAAAAACATCCTGAGTGAGGTAACCCAGACGCAGAAAGACAAATATAGTATGTGTCACTCATAAGTGGAACCAGACATAAAGCAAAAGATACCTAGCCTACAATCCACAACCCCAGAGAAGCTAGAAACTTCCTCCAGAAACAGATGGACGCAGATACATAAATCCACAACAAACCAATAGGCCAAGCTCCTGGAGTACAATCGAAGTGAGGGAGGAGTGATAATATGAACGAAGGAGTCAAGACCATGATGGGGAAACCCACAGAATCAGCTGACCCGAGCTAGTTAGAGATCACTGATTTGGGTCTGACAAATTTGGAAACCTGCATAAGACTGAACTAGACACCCTTAATATAGGTGACAATGGTGTGACCGGGAAAATATGTGAGGCCACTCACTGGCAGTGTGGATCCAAGATCTAACTCTAATGCACAAACTGACTTAGTAGAGCCCATTCTATATGGAGAGATGCCTTGCCCAGCCTGGACACAGGGGGTGGGGGGTGGAGAGGTGCCTTGGTCCTGTCTCAACAAGATGATAGGACAGACTTAGTAGACTTCCTATGGGAGACCTTACCCTCTTCTCTGTAGAACAAATGGGAGGAAGGTGGAGTGGAAGGGGTGGGAAGGAGTAACGGAGGGGAAACTGGGATTGGAATGTAAAAAAATAAAAGAGAAAAAAGAAAACCCCATAGATGTTTAAGAACTTGGAAATGAAGTCCAAGAAGAAAAGGGAGCTTGATTCTGTAAGCCACTACAATGGAAACCTGTGAGATTAAATGAGTCTAATGTTTCAGACACAAAGACGGTGACCAAGAGTTCTTGTTGGGGACTGAAGCCTCCTTAAACAAGCAAAAAATTTTGCTTAGGGTAGGATGGAGAACTCTCTACCTTTCCCCAATTGTCCTGTTTTAACCAAACCCTGAACTCAGAAATTTCAAACTACAAGAAGTATCTACAGGAAGGGGTGAGGAGGTCCAAGAAAATGGGTAGTATGACCTTGAGTAGAAAGGCCAAGGAAGCCAAGTGTTTAATCTTTGGTTGGAACCACAGCGACACCTAGTGGGCTCAAGTTTAATTATAATTATCACATCTTTTCAGACCCTTTAAAGTGCATCAGGGAAATCGCTTGATAAAACGCTAATTCTGTCATAGTTCAGAGTTACAAGTGATGCCAGGAATTATCTTTGCATCTTTTATGATGACAGAGGACTGTGGATGCCTTTAGAAACCCTCTTTACTGGGAAGCCAAACTGAAAAACGGCCTTAGTTTACCTTTAAGCTAATGCCCAGGACTATCAAGTGCCAAGTCAGTGACTTGGCCTCTGCAGGTAGAAAAACAAAGCCCCCTAGAGACCAAGAGGCTTTGTAACAGACACGTAAAGAACAAAGGCTATTTCATCTGGGCAGAGGAGCTCTGGGGAAAGCTGATCAGTGACTAGATAAGGTCAGAGAAGCTGTGCTGTGAAAGCCTGGAGAGAAGGCATCGCGTGGGCCTGGGAGGAGCACCCCAGAGCCTGAGCCTCACCAGAGCAGGAGAGACTGTGAGAAGCCTTACCAACTGCTCTACCTGGGATGCCTCTCCTGGCTCTTCTGAATACAGGAGTCACAGCTATCACTTCATATCAGCTGACCAGCGTGTGAGCCCATGTGCTTCTTGTCTACACAACTTTGTGAGGAGGGGACTGCCACTCAGCATACAGTGCAGACAACCACAACTTTGTGAGGAGGGGATTGCCACTCAGCACACAGTCCAGTCAACCACAGTGCCACAAAAATCACTGAATAAAGGCTGAATGTAAACTTCCCACATCTGTGTCTGGGTTACCTTTGCAGTATCTAAAATTAGGCTCCTTGGTTCTGAACTATGAATAACTTAAGAGAAACAACAAAGGAAAAATACAAATACGTAGAGATTGCCTTCTCTACTTAAGTCGAGAGCATGAATGCAAGCAACTTGACCAGATAAACTAAGAAATAACCAGGTGTATCTGATTAGCTCTTCCACAAGACTGACTGCTGCTCCAGGCCTGTCATTCTGGCCCCAACACCCTTATTCTCACTAGACTGAGGCACACTATGATAACTTCTGACTCCACCCGCATTGTGACACAGAGGGCCCAACATCCTGCCCACTCACACCACACATGCTGCACACAGGCTCTCCAATACAGGGTTAAGTACACTGGCATCCGCTGTCTATGTTTTCCTCCTTCTCTCTTATCTCTTGTAATGGTTCAATCCACAAAGATAAAATTCAAGAAAATACAATTTTATCATAGGATTGCTATTGTAGATCTTTTCTGGGCTGTGTGGAGCTCATTACCCATAACTTGGGTGAAGTATAACAGCTTCAGGACAGACTGTGTTACCTTACAGAGGACTTTTTCAAGGAACAAATATATCTAGTTTAAGACAACTCAGTAAGAAACAGCAAGGAATTCTAACGATACATTCAAATATAAATGTGAAAACAGTCCTTCTCATTGGTCACTGGGGAAGTAAAAAAAAAAAAAGATACAACCTTTCATGTACTAAACTGGTAAACATTTGAAAGTGTGGCAACAGTGTTAGTATGTATGCAAGCACCACTGACAGAAATATAAAGTGATACAAATATTTGAAGGGTAAATTTGTGCTATTTTTATTTATGATGTGCAAGGTTTTACTCTTTTGGCTCTTTGGAGTTTCCACCACCCAGCTCCCAAATAACTCACACATGGAGGCGTATTCTTAGTTGTGAGTGC